ATTGGCTTCCTCCATTTCCGATGCCAGGAACAGGTTCTCGAAATCCCTCGTCCATTGGCCGAAATCAGCCCCGTCTCCAGCAGCGGATTGCGTATCGCTTTCCGATTCTGATGCCGAGTCTGATTCCTCCGCCAGACGAGTGACCACGGGACCTCTTAGCTAGAGGCAGGACCGCTCGAGGCGTTCTCTACTCTACTCGAAATAAGGCCTTCTTCATGTGGTAGATTATCGGGTTCACTCGCGGTGCTTCCCGGCTCAGGAATTTTGCCCTCAATCCCTTTATGGGTTTTGAGAGTGATGGAGTAATAGCCGTAGCTGATGACTCCATTACAGTCAGCGAGGTTCGGTAGAGATTCTTCGTTAATTACCAGGGTAATATAACGTTGTTGTTCTACTACTCTCCAATCAAGGGCTGGTAGTTGTCACGAGAACATACCTATCCATACCAGTCAAGGGCAAGTATGTATATAAATGATGTATGTAGGTATGCTATATATTTTTATGTACATATATGAGTTCCACATATGCACTAACTCTCACTATCGCTCAACATGTTTGTTACTGAAAAAGTCAGTCTTCAACTTGCACTGAGTGTGTATGCATATACGGTTAGAATATTCTCGTTACATGGTGCCGAAACCTGTTTTTTCTTACAAACAAAAAATATATAGAAGCAGCTAGAAGTCACACCGTCAACGCAAAAAAAAGTGCGAAAGACTCCCTACTGAAGTAGTGAAAAATTATTTTCAAACATCATATAAAAACAATAAAACAAAATGTTAAAACCACCAAAACCTCTGTTAATAAATAACGACGTGGATATGGCACGAGAATGGACCGAGTGGTTAGAAACGTATGAATGCTATGCCTTTGCAGCAAAGGTCAACCTCGAGGAGAGCCCCGTGCAGTTGGCGAATTTTAAAACCGTGATAGGGCGGGATGGCTTTCGGTTAATTAATAATTTAGGCTTGAGTGAGGCACAAAAATCTGACTTACTCGAAATCAAAAAGAAACTAAAAGAACATTTTGTACCATCTCGTAATAAAACGTACGAACGGTATCAATTTCATCACATCAAGTAGCAAGAAAATGAAGCTTTCGATGATTTCCTACAAAAAATTCGATAGCAGGTACGAAAGTGCGAGTTCAACAATGACGACGAATTTCTAACTGACCAAATTGTTCTGGGTATTCGCTCAGACGAAACCAGACAAAAACTTTGGATCGAAAACAAGCTGTCACTCGAACGAGCTATTAAAATATGTCGCACGGCAGAAAGAGCAACAAAACAAATACACAACTTGAACGAACCAGATTCTGCAGTAAAAATTAATAAAATTGATAAAGCCTTTAATTGCAATTGGTGCAAGACAACTCACGGGCCGAAGAGTTGCCCAGCATACAACAAAGAGTGCGTACGCTGTGGTAGAAAAGGGTATTTTAAGATCGCGTGCAGGTCGAACATTAATAAAAAGCAGTATTCGAAGGAAAATCATAAAAAAAAAACTAAGAAGAGTGTGAATGTAATAGGAACAGAAGGCGGTAGCGATAGCTCGGAGTTTAGGTTCGTAGGCAAAATAAGCTGTTCCGTTACTTCAACCGAAAATGAAGAAAAATGGACAGAAAAAGTGCAAATCGGCGAATATGAGCTAAAATTGAGATTAGACACTGGAGCTTTTTGTAACGTACTACCAATTAGAGTTGCCAAAAAGCTTGGTGTTCAGATAAATAGCAGCGAAATTCAACGCTTAAAGGCATATGACGGCGGTTTTATAAAAGTGTTAGGTGAGATAGAAGTACCCTGTTGTATACAGCGTACAACCAACAACGTTGGTTAAATTGGTATGCTTCAAAGTAATTGGAGAGAACTATCAGGCGATTTTAAGGGCTAACGACTGCGAAAAGTTAGGATTTGTGAAGCGTGTAAGCCAGTTAGGGTGCTGCAACTATTTCGAATACGATATAGATTTCGTAGACAGCCCGAAATTTAAAATCGTTCCAGCGAGGAAGGTTCCATATGCAATCGAGAAAAGTGTGAAGCAGGAAATACAAAATAAAAAGCGTTAGTGAGCCCTGCTGTTAGTCCAATGCTAGTAGTAAACAAACGAAATGAGATACGTGTATGCATGGACCCGATCGAACTGAACAAATATATTAAGCGACCGATTTACCCTATAAAAACTGTCGAAGAGGTAGCAGCAAAAATTCATGGTAGCAAATTTTTCACCAAACTTGGTTGCCAAAAAGGCTTCTGACAAATCAAAGTAACTGAACGAACATCGAAATATTTAACATTTTCTACGCCCTGAGGACGTTTTAGCTATCTTCGTATGCCCTTTGGAATTCCGTCAGCGCCAGAAGTTTTCTGCGGGGTAATGAATCGAACGTTAGAAGGCATAGAAAGATGCGAAGTGGCCATGGACGATATTTTCATACACGCACCGACTCTAAGCGAGCTACGAAAAACTACACAGAAAGTAATAAGCCGATTGAAAGACGCTGGATTTATACTAAATCGCGAAAAATGTAGGTATGAAAAGAAGTCGCTAAAGTTTCTAGGTAACATTTTCACCGAAAATGGGTATAAAACAGGCGAAGAAATGATAAAAGCAATTTGCCTGCTCAAAGAGTTCCAACGCCTGTTGGGAATGGTAACATATCTCGGCAAATTTATAAAAAATTTATCGAGATTGACAGAGCCATTACGCCCACTTTTATGTAAAGAAAACGTGTGGAGATGTGAACACGAGCATGCCAGCGCATTCGAAGCTATAATACGAACACTGACAAAAACTCCCGTACTAGCTATTACGACGTAAAGAAACCAGTGAAACTATCGGTTGACGCCAGCAGTCAATCTATGGGGGCATGCCTGATGCAAGACGGCAGACCATTAGCGTACGCCACTAGAGCATTAACTAAATCGCAGCAAAAACAACCGCAAATAAGCAAGGAAGCCTGGGCTATCCGTTTTGGATGTCAAAAGTTTTACGATTACGTTTACGGGAAACAGCTAGAAATTGAAACGGACCATAAGCCCCTGCAAACGATTTTCAGCAATCCGATTCAAAATGCACCAATACGATTGCAAGGTGTGCTGTACGACATTCTACAATATTCACCGAAAATTACGTACACAAAAGGATCGATGATTTCAATTGCAGATACTTTGAGCCGCGACTGCGAGCCGATAGAAATTGATGAAGACGAGCCAGTTTACTTAATCCATGCAATTGGAGACACAATGCGCAAAAGGAAATTAAAGAAACTGCTGCCGACGGCTGGGGATAAATCGATACCATCAAGGTATTACTCAAATCAGTACTTGTACTTGTATCAAACAAGGTATCGATACCTACTCAGTATCGGAAAGGTATCGAGTACTTGTACATAAATAGAACTACTTTTTTGCATATTTTTCAAACTTTATGGCGCGTATTAATAGTCCAGCAACTAAGTCGAAACTAACAAAGTTGCAACTTAAATTTAAGTACCAACTTAAAATTTACCTCTATTCATAGTCGCATTTCAGACTTCTACTAAGTAGTTTCGACTTAGTTTACGATATAGCAAAACGAGTGTGAAAATGTATCGATTTTTCTTTACGATATTTTAGAAAAATTACATTTTTATTAAATAATGTCAAGTTTGATCATCCGTTTATGTAATTTTTATTTTCATTGCATGATTATGCAAAATAACAGGGTATCTTTTTCTTGTTAACTGTGTGAAATAGCCAAAACATCCGCAGTGATTTGAAGTCGATGTTTATCGAAAGCATGCTGTGAAACGTACAAATAGTAGATATCTAAATGTTATGCACAAATTTACTTTAAAAGAACTAGCGTGAAACTGACTTATTATTTGAGAATTTATCTAAAATATTCCAATTATAAAATTGTGATGTAACTTTATTCGAAGTGTAATACGCATTTAATTTCATCTTCCGATTAAAATGGATCGATCTTTGTAAATTTTAATTGGAGATTATTCAATATTATCAAAATTACCCTCTACCAACTTAATTTTTGCATATTTCGTCTGTTTTCCCTTAATTTGATAAAATACTTCTTCCTCTTACGACTTAGTTGCAGCTGCAGCCGAAACTAAATTTTAAGTTGGTACTTAGCCAGAAAAGTCGAAACTAAGACGACTATGAATAGCTTTAGTTGTGACTTAGAATAGTTTCGACTTAGTTGAGTACTAAATATGACTATGAATATGCGCCATTATGTTTTTTTTTCACAAAAAAATCCATTTTCACAATATAATTTTTTTAATATTTTTTCACGCAAAAATTTAAGACAACAGTTATTTTTGTATAGGATTTGATTTCAAAAACAGAATACATATTTACGAGATAAATAGAGAAATTTTTATCATATAAAATAAGTTCAAGAAAATAACTATTTTTTTTTTTGTTATATTTCCCAAAAACATCAACTTTTCCAAGTGTTTTCCTGGAAGGCGGTTTCGAGATTTTGGTATAGTTGTACCTGTTTTTGAGAAAAGCCAGGGACAGATGGCCTAACAACCGTTATGTACAGAAATGCTTCCTTATATAGCTGCGGAGATGTAGTGCGCATACCTTCCCATTCCTCTAATGGTTTGCTTTTCAAAGAAGATGCTGAAGCATAATAAGTTTTGCGCTTCCGATACAAGTACTTTGTTTTCGATACCCACTTGGATCGCAGTAAAAAGTATCAAGTACAAAAACACTTTGTAAATTGAGAAAAGTATCGAGTATGTATTTGGATTTACTTGTATCGATTTATCCCTACCGACGGCGAACTACAAGCACTCAAAGCAGCCGTCATGAGAAAATGGCCAGATAACGAAGCTGAGGTGCCAAAGACCATTAGAAAATACTCGGCTATTAGGCACGAAATTAAGTGCGAAGACGAGTTGTTGTTAAAGGGTAACAAAATTATTCCACCACATAATTTAATAAAATCTGTTATGGCAGAAGCCATAGGGGCCATAGCGGAATCTCAACGACCATGCATCGCATCCGCCAATCATTTTTTTGGAATGGTCTTACGACCGACACCAAAGACTTCGTTGAAAAGTGTGCAGTATGTCGACAAACACAACGAGCAAACCCTAAAGAACCTTTGAAATTGCGAGACATACCCGAATATCCCTTTCAATTAGTGTCGACAGATATTTTCAAATTTAAAGGTGACGACTTTCTACTAATCGCCGATCCCTACTCCGGATTTAACGACTTCCGAAAACTCAAGTCAAGTACATCATCGGAAGTAATATATTTATTACGTCAGTGGTGCTCCGTACATGGAATTCCCGAAATACTTGAGTCCGATGGAGGCCCACAATACAGCAGCCAAGCCTTCAGAGAGTTCGCAACAAACTGGAAATTCAAGCTCAGAATTTCTTCACCACATTACCCTCAATCCAATGGATTCGCGGAGCGCAAGGTTCAAACTGTTAAAGGTATTTTAAAGAAGTGTTGGCACGATGGAAGCGATCCATATTTAGCGATGTTGCTGCTGCGTAATACGCCGCGAAACAAAGTACTAAAATCTTCCAGTCAACGATTATTCAGTCGGCAAACCCGGACCATTCTGCCTATTGAAAAGATAAACTTAACTGCCCAAAGTAGTGTTTGGTGTCGCCAAAGTACTGCAGGAACTGCGTGATAATCAAAAACGCTATGCCGATCAGGTCGCAACTCCTCGCCCACCGCTTAAAACTGGCGACAACGTCAGAATGCAGACAGGTCACCGCGAATGGAAACCAGCCAAAGTCGTCGAGATGACCGAAAGTCCACGCTCAGTCATAGTGGAAACACCCGAAGGCAGAAAATATCGCAGAAACAGCAAATATCTCCATACAACAAAAGCGAGCATACCTTCGGAAAACTCACCAACGCTGGAATGTGAATCCAATAACGCTCACGTACCTGTATCCAATGAGTACCAGGAAATTGCACCTAGTGAACAATCACCTGACCAGAGTAGCGGCATCCAAACTCAGTACTCCGGCGAAAATGCAGACCGGCAGACTAAGGTCTCCTGCTACGGACGGAAAATCAAACCTGTCGAAAAATACGACCCTTCAAAATATTAAACTTAAGCAAATACTTTAATAAAATCTGAATTAATAGCATTTACTTTTATAAACACATATACTAGTTTTCTCATACACATACAAATATATATGCATACGTATATACATGTAAATATGTATCCACAAATATACAAATATTTTGTGTGCACACACATCTACATGTAATACGAATGCGATGCATTTGCCTCTAATAATAAGATTAAAAAGTTAATTTTTTCTGAAAAAAGAGAGGATGTCACGAGAACATACCTATCCATACCAGTCAAGGGCAAGTATGTATATAAATGATGTAGGTATGCTATATATATTTATGTACTTATATGAGTTCCACATATGCACTAACTCTCACTATCGCTCAACATGTTTGTTACTCAATAAAGTCAGTCTTCAACTTGCACTGAGTGTTTATGCATATACGATTAAAATATTCTCGTTACAGTAGTGTGTCGTTGGAGCTCTGGATAATCTCCAGAATTCCCTGCGGATTGGCGGGTTCCTCCGGGACCCATGCCCTGGCTCGCGGCATGCAAGGGATTTCATCCCTATGCACTGCCACTAAGTCAGCGCCGGGCCACAGTTCCCCAAGCGCAGATGTGCCCTCCTTATAGAGCCGAACGATACCAATTTAATACGGTCTTGGTATAAGCCAGCGTCGCGAAGGACAGGAGCAGGGCCAGGATTCCTTTGGAGAATGTCTTTGTACACCCGGCAGAGACCTACAAGGACATTCTTCCAATTCTCGGATATCAGGTTTCCCTCTGGCTGCCCCCTGTCCATTACAGCCAGAACCAATTGGTCTTTGGTAGCTGCCTTTGGGGGCCGGTTCCCTGGAACCTGAGGGAGGGGGTTCAGGGTTATTTAAGACACCCTTCTCCTGAGTCCGTTCCCGGCTTTAAGAGAGTATGCCCTTTGCCCTCTCAACCACATCCCTCACATTCTCGGGAACCGGATTGTCCCCGAATTTCTTCAGCAGCCTGGAAGCGGCTCTTCTGACACGCTTCGCTCGCACTTCTGGGCGTACTCGTTTAATTGTCCCTGAACCACTGGGACGAGTGTGATGCTTCGCCAACTTGGACCCCACAGGGGGTTTGTGGTTGGCATTCTTATTGCCCGTGCAGGGCTCCCGGGCGCCAGTAACGCCCCCAACCAGAGCTTCTTTAGAGCTGCCCTCAAGGGGTGTGCTCATTGCCACTCTTGATGAGGACGCCTGGCACGAGAGATCCATCGGCCGTGTAGGCTCCGTTAACATCCCAGACGTCAGTCGCTCGCTACCCTCCGAGGGTTTGCAGCTATCAACGCTGGGCACAATAAACGATTTAAATGGCCGTGAAGGCTTCTTCGGGACCGATCCAGCGGCTACCGAAGATTTCTATTGACTATTTATAACGCTGTGTCCGTCGGCGGCATTTTTACCCGTGCAGGGATCCGGGGCTTAATTATTATTTGTAATCATATTCTGGTTCTTTGGTCGCCTACAGAGCCGAAACGTTCGGCGACCGTGTATAAAGGTAAGGGGAAAGAACGGTCGGCCACAGCAGAGCCCCGTGCTGTGGTAAGTCCACCGTTACTCCCGGAGGCGGACAGGTATCCGGGAGGCGCCGTTAAAATACCTTCACCCCTGCGGCGTAGGGCCAACCGCAGCGATGCCCATTGGCCAGTCGGCACCCGCTTGTAGGATATATCTAGGATATTTTTGCCAACCCTATCGAGGGTAGCGTTTGACACTATCGATAGTATTGCTGGAAACTATCAACGAGTAATGATAGTTTTTTTCTGAAACATGGAAACTATCGATGGTGGCACTATCGATAGTTTTACAACTCTACTTACACCGGACATTACTACCATACCAATAGCAATACTTGCACACTTTTTCAGTGACATCCACAGAAGTTGGCTGCGTTTCATTTATATTAAATTCAACATGCGAAGTTTGTTGAGATGGAGGCAGTGGCAGTCAATTTAGAAATTGGGTTTAACTGAGCAGTAGAGCGTTTCTGTAACTAATGCGATATTATATCGCAAATTTTATCATAACGCGGTATCGCAAACGATATCCGAAATGATTCTGTAACTCAAAGGACGCACCTTGCAATATATGGTGGTGAGTTTTGTTAAAATTACACAAACTACCAGAATGAAGAACAAATGTTTATGTATATTTCTGACAAATTAAAGCAACAAGTAAGAGGTTTCATATATTTTGAGCATTAAAAAACATTTAATTGATTAATGTAGCAACAACAGAGGATAGTTCCGTGCGCAGAAGTGGAAAACTGTTGACTGCCATTCATCTGGGAGTGGCTAGAAGCGATTCTTGTGCGTCAAATCGCAGCTCACAACGTCCGGATATTTATATCCACGTATCCTCTGAGTAGCAACCAAACATCCGTTTGGGAGCGAGCTATAGTGAGAAGGGGTAAAACTTCGCGTACGCTGGGTTTGGGTCTCGCCACGTTAAAACCCCGCCCAATGAAAAAGAACAAACAGCCTCGGAAACGTATAAAGGACTCTGACTTGAGGGTATGCACCTGGAATATCCGGCCCTTAAAGGGGAAGGTGCCTCTGCCCGGCTGTTGGATGTCCTCGGGAAGACAAAGGCAGACATCACCGCCATCCAAGAAATTAAAAAGGAAAAGTAAATGTGAATCCTTGTGACGTCTACTAAAGTTGCCACGTAAAGGAGCGCAAATTCGGTGTTGGATTTGTGGTAGGAAAGAGACTGGCATTCACCCCGGTGCACGAACGTCTAGTTACAATCCGCATCAAAGCGAGATTTTTCGACATCTCGCTCATCTGCGCCCATGCCCCGACGAAAGAGAAGGACGAGGCGTCCAAGGATCTCTTCTATGAGCGATTAGAGCGTACATATGAGCGCTGCCCGCGACACGATGTTAAAAACGTGCTCGGCGATTTTAATGCCAAGGTGGGCAAGGAAGGGATCTTTGGCGCCACTGTCGGAAAATTCAGAATCCACGATGAAACGTCCGATAACGGACCTTGGCTGATCGACATCGCCGGGGCCCGAAACATGGTAATATGTAGTACTAGGCTCCAGAATAAGAACATCCACCAAGCTACATGGCTGTCTCCAAATCAAAAAACGAGAAACCAAATCGACCACGTTGTGATAGATGGAAGGCATGATTCCAGCGTTCCAGCACTATCTTGTTGTAGCCAAAAATGTGCGCCAAACAATGCAAGGAAAGCTTTACATCGAAAAGCTGCAATCACAACAGACGGCCAATTTATTCGCCACTCGACTCACACACCTGCTCTTTGAGAGCATAAGCAAGCAGTTAAACCACATTTTCCGATCATTAGATACCGCCGCCGAAGAATTAATTGGATTTCAGCGAGCCTGAAAGAACAACTGGTACAATGAGGAATGTCAAGAAGCCGCAGAGAAAAAAGACGCTGTATGGGACCGTTATAGGGAACTTAAGAAGGAAGCGAGACGTATTTGCCGCAATAAGGAGAGAGAGGTCGAAATACGTGAGTGCGAAGAGCTTGAAACGCTAGCCGACAAGAAAAAACGATTGAAAATTTTACCAGAGGGTTAGGCAACTTACGGAAGGTTTCAAGACCAGGGCGAACTCCTGTAAGAAAAACAATGACGACCTAGTAACTGATGTCTCGAGCGTACTTAAATTATGGAGAGGCACTATTTAACCCTACTGAAAGTAACAGCGCTGAAATTAGTGGAGAAGACGAACCCGACCCCCAGTCGAAGACGAAGGAGTCGATGTTTCCCCTCCTGACTATGACGAGGTACGAATAGCGATAACGCGCTGGAAAAAAACAACAAAGCTGCTGGAGCTGACAACCTGCCAGCTGATCTATTAAAGTACGGTGGCGCGGAGTTGATAAGGTGCATGCATCAACTCTTATGCAGAATATGGTCAGATGAACGCATGCCCGACGACTGGAATTTAAGTGTGATCTGCCCAATCCACAAGAAAGGCGATCCCGCCATTCTAAGGATAGGTTATAAGGTCTTATCGAGTGTATTGTGCGAAAGACTCAAGCCCACCGTCAACGAACTGATTGGACCTTATCAGTGTGGCTTTAGGCTAGGCAAATCCACCATAGATCAGGTATTCACAATACGCCAAATCTTGGAAAAAACCCGCGAGAATAGAATCGACACACAACATCTATTTGTCGATTTCAAAGCCGCTTTTGACAGCACGAAGAGAAATTGTCTTTATGCCGCGATGTCTGAATTTGGTATTCCCGCGAAAGTAATACGGCTGTGTAAAATTACGTTGAGCAACACCACCAGCTCCGTCAAATAGGGAAGAAGCTCTCTGAGCCGTTTGATACCAAACGAGGATTCAGACAAGGTGACTCTCTCTCATGCGATTTCTTTAATCTGATGTTGGAGAAGATAATAAGACCCGCAGAACTGAACCGCTCAGGCACAATACTTTACAAGAGCGTACAACCAGATACAAGTAGACGACGTCGTTAATTTGGGAACCATCATTAACACCAATAATAATGTCAGCCATGAAATCCAACGGAGAATCACGCTTGTTAACAAGTGCTACTTTAGACTGAGTAGGCAATTGAGAAGTAAAATCCTCTCTCGTCGTACAAAGATCACACTCCATAAGTTACTCACCTGTGCTGGTGTATGTCGCGGAGGTATGGACAATGAAAACGTCTGATGAAGCGGCTCTTGGAGTTAGTCCAGCCACTAAGTCGAAACTAATAAAGTTGCAACTTAAATTTAAGTACCAACTTAAAATTCACTTCTATTCAGTCGCATTTCAGACTTCTACTATGTAGTTTTAACTTAGTTTTACGATATTGCAAAACGAGTGTAAAATGTATCGATTTTTCTTTACGATATTTTGGAAAAATTACTTTTTTATTAAATAATGTCAAGTTTGATCATCCGTTTATATAATTTTTACTTTCATTGCATGTTTGTGCAAAAGAATAAGGTATAAGTTTCTTGTTAATTGTGTGAAATAGCCAGAACAACCGCAGTG